GAGAGGGCAGTGTGCGAAACTATGAGTGTGAAGCCAAAGGTGCAATGGAGACCCCAGAAGTTGGAAGAAGCCAGGAGCATAGATCATCTGCAAGGAGGGAGCAGAGCCAGCCCAAGAGAGAAGCTGTGGGAGCTACAACCTTCTGCAGTAACCTAGGGGCAGAGTCACCAAAGCCCTTCAGAGTTCACAACTTGCCACAGATTGACAGGGATTCTGGAAGTGAAAATGTGGGATTTAATGTTTGCCCTGCTGGATTTTGGGCTTGCCTCGGTCCCACTCCTTTGTATCCTGCTATTTGTATCTTTTGGAATCACAATGTTTATCTTGTGCCATTGTATGGAGGAAGTATTTAATTTTCTTTTCATTTGATCAGGGTCTTGTAGCTAAGAATTTGCCTTAAAATTCAGGAGAATTGGGACCTGGATTTTTTAGCAATGCTGAAACTGGTAGGATTTTGGCAACTCTCAGAGATGGACTAAATGCCTTTTGTGTAAAAGAATGTACATCAGTGTTTTGGGGGCCAATGGTGGGCTGTTTTGGGTGTAGATATCCCCCCAAAGCCTCATGCAGTCATAGGTGACTGAATCTAGAGTATGTGATGCTAGAATTAAGAGTATGCAATTACTAAACCACTACAGGTGAATGATTTGTTTGGTGCCACCCTAATCCCAGTAGTCTGAATAGGATAAAAGGAGTAGAAGGACACTGATCAGGTCCTTTGTTGCCTTTGCTACCTGTGTGCACCATGTTGTTTCTCCTCTGTGATGCCTGTCTATCATTTCTGTCTTGGAGCCAGCCGACTATGGACTGAAATCTCTATGAACTGAGCTAAATAAACCTTTTCCCCTTCAACTTTGGGTATCAAGTACTTTGCCTTAGCGATGAGGGAAAAATAACTAACACAACTAACCTTTTCTTCTAAGAAGTACTAAAAATAGTGTATTTTCTATTTTCTATTATTTTATTAGTATATATTTGCAGTTCATGCAGTTTACAGTCATCTTAGGCAGTGGTTACGTGTACATATTACAGCTTGTTTCTTTTTTGTTATTCCCCTTCCCCTCCCTGTCTCCTGCTCCAATTTCACCATCACATTTTTCATTCTTGTTGCTATTATTAATCTCAGCTCATAATATATCATATAATATTTACATTCATTGATGTTATTAGGTTCATGTACATAGCATATCTTTATTATATTTATTTCCCCTTCCTCTCCTCCTCACCCTTCACCCTTGTTCCCTTGGATGCTTCCCTATTGCAAGAAATTCATCCCCTTGTCCCCTTTTATCTCTCCTTTATTATTCTCTTCATTGGTACTTTGCCTCACTCTAATGAGAGATACCATACAGTATTTAAGCTTATGTGTCTGGTTTATTTCACTCATCACTGTATTTTACAGGTGCATCTATTTTTCTACAAATGTCTCAAATTTGTCATTCTTTACAGCTGAATAGTATTCCATTATATCTAGAGGCCACATTTACTTTATCCATTTTTCTGTTGATGGGTATACAATCTGCTTCCACGATTCAGCTATTATAAATTATGCTGCTATAAACATCAGTATGCATGTATCACTGTAGTGTTATGTCTTCAGCTCTTTGGGGAAGATATCTAGCAGGGGGATAACAGGGTCATATGGAATTTCTAATTTCAGTTCTTTGAGAAAACTCCATACTGATTTCCATAACAGTTGTACAAGTTTACATTTCCACCAACAATAAAGGAGGGTTCCTTTTACATCTGAGCCACTCCATCTTTTGTTATTGATTGATTTCTTAATGATTGCCATTCTTTCTGGGGTAAGATGGAATCTTAATATTATTTTAATTTGCATTTGTCTAGTGGTCAAAAATGTTAAACATTTCTTATACCCATATAAACTTTTACAATACATAACTGTGTCAGTAAGCAAAGGAATTTTTTTTGAGGTTAGTTTACCACTGCATAGATTCTTCTGAAATTTGTTTGTTTACAATTTTGCTGACTTATTCCATGCTGATATATACAGCTCTAGTTCAGGTACTTTTAATTTGTGAATAATAATTTCCTATATAAAAACAATGCAATTCACTTTTACTTTCTTGTCAATGTACATAACACTTTCCATATATCTTGAGGAGATTAAGGTACTATTATTGCCGGGCATGGTGGTGCATGCCTGTGATCCCAGCACTCGGGGAGCTGAGGCAGGAAGATTGCTGTGAGTTCAAGGCCAATCTGAGCTACATAGTGAGCTTAAAACCAACCTTAACTACATAGTGAGGCCCTTCCTCAAAACAACAATAACAACAAAATATAGTATGATATTGAAAATTATTTCATCATCTACATGTGCAAAATTCTCCAGGTTGTTTAACTAGAATTTTAGGGTGAAATTGTATTTAGCTTTACTAGATATTGTTCTTCTACATCATTCTTTGAATTTGACTCTCACATGTTAGTAATGTTAAGATTTATAATTTTTGGTGGTATGTTAAAGAGAATAATATTTAATTTTTTAGTTTAATTGGAATTCTACAATTACTAAAGTTGAGCACCTGAAAAAATCTGTGCATTTGTGTTGTGTGTGTTTTGTTTCATTTTGCATTTTTTATGATCTTCTCTTTGTCTTTTCTTCACAAATGAGTGCAAATTCTATATAAATTTTTGATTGTTTAATTAATAAACTGTAGAGGATATTGTTACAGCCAAACTAGAACATACTCAAAAAAAAACCTCAAACAAACTTCCATTTAGTGTCTTTGGATTTTACTTTCTTTTTTGACATTTTTAAGTGAGTGCTACTGGCTAAATTTATCAATATTCATCTTATAAATTTGTCCTTTTATTTTTAATCCTTTTTACAAATTTAATATCTTATTATCAAAAAGGCATTCTAATATATTTTCTTCTAAGTTTTATTCACTGTTATGTATATTTAATCCACCTAGATTACTTTTTCTTATGCTGTGAGATGTGTCTAATTTTATTTTTCTGAAGATATATAACAAATCAACTCAGCATCACTTATTGATTAGCTTCCTTTTCCCATCATCTGGTCATAGTAACACTATGTTTTTGAAATATGATATTTCCATAAGTGAGTCAAGTTTTTATGTGTTCTTTATTCTATCTCACTGCAATATAATTCTAATCTTACACTGATATTACACTTTTATTATTACAACTCTGCAATGAGTTTTGTTTTCTGGTAGGGAAAGCTTTATTTTATTTTAATAGCTTTTTAAAACAATGTTACAAGACATGGTAAATTCTTTTTCACATTCACCTGTGCTTACTTCCAGTCTGTTGTTCATTATGATTGCCTTTAAAAACATATGATTCCACTCATTTATTTGTATATATGAAGTGTAATTATTTACAATATACCACTTGAAGAGAATTTACAATTGAATGTTGATTTTGTTTCAGCCTAATAAATCATTTTGTACTTGATTTTTATATTTTATCTATTATTACCACGTTTCTGTAACAGCACATTTGAACTCATTTTGCAGCTTCCATTCTAGAAAGCCAAAAGAAATGTAACTTGGGATTCTACTTGATTTTCTGAAAATGCTTTTTGCTTCTGCATCAGCTATATAAGGAAGACAGTAATTGTGCTTCCATTTTCTTGGCTTTCTACATGCAAGGATCATGAGTCTGGCCTGTTATTAGAAACTATTCCCTATAATGTCAATGAAATAAATTTCTGCCCACTCCTTCAGAGGTGTCTCTCATTTCATATGTATTTTACATTATGTAACAATAAATATTAATTCAATTTAAAGCTTTTTGCATGATAAACTTATTTATATTCTAGCTTTTGTTAATAATGATTTGAGCACAACATGCAATTGTCTTTTTTCAATGGTAAAGAAAAATGTAGTTATAGTTCATGCAAGCCAAGCACAATATTCCACAATTTCAGTGTATTAAGGGTTTCTGATGTAGGACTTTTTTACATCCAGGTAAATTTAGACACCAAACCAAAAACCAAGTTAGTTTACCTCAGACTAGATTTGGTTTTATTTATTTGGTTGTTATTTTTTTCTTAATTCTAGACTTGTTTCTCTCCAAATTATAGATGTTCCAATGATACATTTTACTTAAATTATCATTAATAGTTTTAGCTTTCCCAAATAACATAGATCCACTATTATGAATGCTTAATGGAATAAAGTCCAGGACTAATGAGCAATATTTTCCCCATCTAGAGTATTTCCTTAACTTACAAACAGGTTTTGTTTCTCTTATGGCAGTTACTCCCATAATTTAGAATTGTATAAAGCCATAAAGGGTAACCCATGTGAGCCCTTGTTTAAATGGACTTTAAGTTAAATTGATACTGTCTTGCATTGCATAATTTGGCATATTTGACACAATAAAGGCTACAAATTTTTAATTGGTTCAAAAATAAATATGTATTATGTGTATACATATATATAGAGAAGGAGGCAGTATATAAGTTAAGCTTTATAAATCTGTGTATGCTATGTTTGAAATGTTTGTACCCATGTACAACCAAAAAATGCCTCAATAAGGACTTGAGTCAGAGGGTTGAAGGTTGATCTGTTAGGAACTCTCTGCAAATATCAACTACAAGTGCTTAATGACTAATTTGTCTCTCATAATTTCATATTTTTCTAATAGTTCTCAAAATGATGTGTCATTTTTTGTTTATGACATGAATGTAATTTCATTCACCACAACAAATAGTTGAAGTGATTGCCATTTACAACTTTAGGCGTCTTTACTCAATTATATCTTCTTAAAGATTAACCACCCTTTTAAAACGACCTAATGTGTAGGAACATAATGATGTCAAAGGAAGAGATATACAGAACACATTTACATTATTGTTAGCATAACTTAGGTTGTTTTTTTACAAGTTCTTAAAAATTTGAGAGATTGTACTCTTTTTTGGTGCTGGAGTACCAAATTTCCTGATGCAGAAGATATAAACATTTATATTCTCTCACAATTCATAAATTAGCAAGCTTTCAAAAACAAAAATGGGGTCAAAAGGAAGTGTACCTTCAAGGAGCCATTCTCTTAGCTCCTATGAAGTCATGTTTGCTGCTCTCTTTGCCGTCTTGGTGGTGTTCTCTGCTGGATTAATTGCACTGTCCTGGCTGGTAATCGAGGAAGCTGGAAAAGGTAGGTCACAGATTTGGATATGGAGGTTGTTTTTAGATGTAAGAACACACTTTCAACTCAGTTATGTGGTCACTATATTTTATTCTTTGTTGGGTTTCATAACAACATATTTTGGTTACATTCAGATGCTTGTCTTAATAGATTATTAGGAAAATTAGTTGGTGTGTAATTTGAAACTCAATCTAGAATTCAAGCATGAGACTAATATACTCTTTTTCTTTTTCTTTTCTTCCTTCTTGTTTTTCTCCTTTTTTGTGAATAATGGTATTTCTTAATTCGACATTTAATGCATTAGGTTTCACAGGATGAGGGTTCATTCTGGTAGACTTAAAATTACCAATATTAAATCACTGTTCACTACACAAGCCAATAAATATGGAAAGTTAACTAAAAATTACTGTTTATTTCTATAGTATAATATCCTAATTCTCTTATTAAGCCAAAAAATTTACTTGTAACAGTATAAATAAATTTGAACATAAATGTAGGCTTATAAGAATATCAATCTCTCTGAGTAGCAACTTGTGACAGAAAAAAAATTTAAAGATTATTATTCAGAAATACATTAATCTGTGCCATCAGCTTTTCAAAGATATTCAAGTGTATCATTTTAAATACAGAAAACTCATGAATTAACCATAATTAGTATTTTATACTTATGAGAAATCTGAGACAAAGAATTTCAGTACTATTTGCTTAAGTTTGAATCATGAGTGGGTAACAGAACGTTCCAAAGTACATAATCCAAGACTGGAAGTACTTCTCTTATCTACAACTTTTTGTAAGATAAGTAAATTAGATGCATAGCAATAATATCAGTATCAAGTGTTTAATTTTTCTGAGAAAATGTTCATATTGTTAATGATGGATTGTATTCAGGCAAATAAACTGAAAACTCACAGGTAGGACCCCTCACATGTGTGTGCTCTTAGTTTACTAAGAAAATTCTCAGCTTTTGAGTTTTCTATTTTTTCCTGATGCATACGGTTTTTAATTAGAATGTAGTAAAATCTTTTCCCTGGTTTATTTAAATAGTAAAGCTACACCCATGTAGTAGGAATATATTTTACAGAGAAAGGGCATGTGTGAATTTTTATCGCTATATGAGCTCTTACACAGACCTTTGGAAAAGTGGCTGCTTTGGTTTCATTTAAATGGTGTGAGTAACCATGCATAGTCATTAAGGAGTACATTAGACTCTTTGGTGCTCAGTAAAAATGCAATAGTTATTTTATAAATAAAGTAGAAAACAAATTTTCATAAATGTTAATGCAATTTAATTGGGAACGCCTAATTATAAAAAGGCATTTGTGTTATATTAAATTGGTAATACAAAATCAGAAGGTATAAGATATACTGCAATGATTTTAAAATACATGCTTTTATACTATATTAGAAATTGTTTGAAACTTTAAGAATTGTAGACTATTACATAACCTTCACCCAGCTTTTCTCAATATGTGTGTAATTATCACAAGTAAGAAATTAACAATGACAAAATATTATCTCAAAAATACTCATTATTGGGCCAGGGATTTAGCTCAGTGGTTTTGCCGCCTGCTGTGCAAGCGCAAGGACCCGAGTTTGATCCCTGGTATCAAAAAAAATATATATTCATTATTCAGATTCTACTAGTTTTTCCACTGATGTTCAAATGTTTAGAATCCAGTGAAGTTTCTTACATAGGATTTAGTTTTCATGTTCTTGTCTTATCTATTTTGTGACAGTTCTTCAGTCTTTCTTTGTTATCCACATTTAAAAGGGGAAATTTTAAAGTTTTGACTGTTTAAAAAATAAAGTAGTGTAAATAACAATCAGTTACATCAATGGCTGTTTAGCCTAACTCCAAGTTTATTGTTTGATACTATATTTGTTGTTCTTCTGTACTGAAAATTTTGGTGCCTGACAGAATTTGGAACTTGTAAGTCCAAATTTCAGATCTATCACTTAAAACCTTTACTAACTTGGGAAATTCTTAGTCATTATAAATTTTAATTTCCTCACTATAGAAAAGAAAAAAATAACATCTTGTTACTCTTATAATTATGTATCATTGTTATTATACTTGTTAATGATATTATCATTAGAGTTTTCAGCTCAAGTGATGTATTTTACATATAAATATCTGTAAAAGAAAAATATACGAAGAAGGGAATTATGCAGTTTATTTACCACTTCCTCATGGTTTTTTTGAGATAATATATTTTCTACACTATCCTTAATAACTTCAATAAAGATAGAAGCATCAGATGTTCAAAGATTATACATGCCAATTATATAATTATGAAAATGTAAGAAGTAGCTTCAAAGATATGATTCAAAGTAACACACATACTGAAATCTTCACAGCAATCCACATGTAGAAAATCAGCAGTGTTCCAGAATGCTGGGGGTTCAAGGTATACAGAAAAGCAACTACAAAACTTTTAATTGTCCCTGTCTTACCATGTTTTCCTTAATCCCTTCCCATTAATTGGTGGAAGTTGATTAGTTCCTGTGTCTTCCAACAGGAATCTCAATTTTAAAAAATTCTCAAATGATTATAACGTGTGTTAGACTTCAAAGAAAAATAAATAATGGAGGAGAAAAGAAGTATCTTTCTTTAATCTTTTAAAATAACTAGACAGCAAAGAAATAAAGAAAGCAGCTGATTTTCAAACAGAAAAATTGCAGAAAAGAATCGAGAGCATTAAAGCCAGTGTGTCATGCAAGAACTTTACTTCTATGTCTTCAGCCAAAATATTTACATTGTCTCCTATTTATAATTCAGTGTTTTATTTCTTATTAATTTATCTAGATGCGGCAGTTGGAAAAAGTCATGAAACCAGAGGGATATTTAAAATAACATCTGGAGCTACATATAATCTTAACTTCCAAGACAAACTCTCCGTGGATTTCAAAGTTCTTGCTTTTAACGTTCAGCAAATGGTAGGGAACTGTGTCTCTTCAGCTGGTTTATAACTTTATGACATAGTTTTACAAACTTCTTGCCAAGACCTACAGAGGTCAAATTTTCTCATTATGAAAAATATTAGTAAATAAATGTAATATGTTTAATATTCTTAAATGAACCCCTCATTATCATGAAGAAAATTTCCCCAATTTTAACCAGAGCATAAAGATTATCTGTATTTTGTAAAAATTTTTGCACAAAAGTTAAAATATTTAATTTAAAATACTTTTTAAAGTTTAATATACTTTTTGATCCTTTTTTAGATAGATGAGATCTTTCAATCAAGTGATTTGAAAAATGAATATAAAACCTCAAGGGTTTTACAATTTGAGTAAGTATACTCACAAAATTGTTTATGACAGCACAAAGTTACAAACTAGTGATTTTTCTCGAAAAGATATGTAAAAATATGTAATACAAATGTATAATAGTGTTACAATGTGTAGAAAAAATGCTTAAATTTTTAAACATTTTGTGATAATTGAGATAAATAGCACAGCATAAATTTTTATTTTATTAGCAAATAATAACTTCTCACAATTTATGTTGTATAGACATGTTTCTCTCACCTCATGACACTGTGCGTTGCTGGTGACAGATTCCAGGTTCTTGTGTACAGAGACCAAAGAACTGCAAGTGTGCACCTAACGGCAAAAGAAAAAGTAACATTTATTGAAGATAACAAGAATGTGTGCTCAAGGCAGGTCCATGCCAACAGAAAAAAAAAACGTGTCAGAAAAGTGGTGAACAGAAAAGTGGTGCCGGTACCACAAGAGAATAGGAAGAAGGAAGATAAGCCAGGCTTTTAGAATTAAAAGATGTGCTCCCCACATTGGGTGCTCTTGCTGTATCTCTGATAAGATGATAGAAATGACTGGCCATCATCTCAGCACTTAGTATGTATGACTCTCAGCTCTGTTTTAATCAAATACATAGATATGGTTCCTATGTATGAACCTTTAACAAAGTTTGAGTAGGAAATGGTTAGTGAAGATCAGACCATGGCCTCTAACGTGCACGGATTCTAGCCTGGAACTTTTGAGATTTCCTAAGTCTTTGTCATTTTTTTGCTTCTTTTAGAAAAATAAAAGGAGAATAGGTCTTTGGGTGTCACCCAAATTCAGGTGGATGGACAGGGAGTGGTCTCCCAGCCCCAACTGTGCCACTTGTATTACTCAGGGTAAAAATCTTACAGAAACATTAGGAAAGGGAAAGGATAAACTTATGCATATGAAGACTCAGTGTTTCATTTGCTAGGAATATGAGGAAGAAGCTTGTTCATTATTAATAAAGTATGATGTCATTTAACCTTATTTACATTATAAATCATAAGAGAGAGGAGACTTGTTCACTGCTGCACCTAGAAGCCATAAGACTCTACTTAGGGCAAATAAAGTGTTCAATGAATGAATGACTCTTAGATTAAGAGAACAACAATGTAATTTCACTATAATGCTTGAATCTAGAGTATGTGTATGTCTATGCATGTGATATATATGTATATATGTGTGTATACTATATATAGTGTACATTTATTATATATATGAACTTTAGAAAGAAATCTCTCTTAACAGCTAATTTTTGGTTTCTCAACAATGAATGGAGCCATGCTTTGCTGTCACTGTAGAACTGGTGTGTCCATGGAGAGGAGTCCAGTCTTTCCTATTCTGACATCTTGCTGAATCAGGAGTTTTCTAGACCACGACTATGATGGGATTTGAATAGCGATCCAAATCAGTAGGAATATTAATGAATAAAGTTGTAATTCTAGTTAGGATCTATGGAATTAAGTTAAATACAGAATGCTCAATTTAAAAACAATAAAAGTGGAAGATATGGGAGAATGACTATGATTACCTGGAAAAGAGAAAGGAGAAAGGCTTAAAAATAACTTGAATAAAAAAAATTAGTGAAAAGAGAATTTGTGGGTTAGAAAAACCTGGAAACTTTTCCAGTATCCAGTAATAATATCTTTCTATCTAAAATGATCATTCTTTTTTTCCTATGGCTTATTTTCATATCCTGTAAAAGTTTACTTAGGGCAGAGAACAGAGAAATGAAAAGTTGAGCCTGGAGAGTCACATATTCAGAAATTGTCTGACTGTAGTTCTTACATTTATGGATAATAATGTAACACCATTTCCTTATCTCCATCTTTCAGAACCTGAAGAATGTTGTTATTATCATTATGCATGCAAGTGTGCCCCAGTGTTCTATCTCAGTACTCACTAGGCCTACTCTTTCTCCTCCCCTTCTCCCTACAAGTTTCTGCACCTACAAGTTTCTAGCCATATCACATTATATACCTACATACACTTTAAAACATGCTACTTTAACCTTCTGTTTTCATTGGCTGATCTCCCATTTCTCTCCTTCCTATGTATTATACCTATTCTTACAGTCCACTGAAAATCAGTCCCTTTCACCTCTCCAGATATGTTTAATTGCCACAATACTCTATGTTAGGTTTTGCTATCCACTGTTAACACCCATTATGATCATATAGGTATCATCCTCAGACTGCAATTATCTATGTAGCAATGTTATTATCTATCTTCCCATCTCCCTATAGACTACAAATTCACTCAGGGCAGGGAATGTGTCTTTGGTATCTGTATTTTCCCAACCTAATGCTTGCCTCCAAGTATTTGTTCTATAATGTCCTAAAAACACAAAAATTACAATCCTGTTACAGTTTACATATAAATGTCCCTCCAAAGCTGCATATGCTCATGGATGGGACTTTTGATAGGTGGTTGAATTATGAAGATGCTATAGCTAAATAGTAGATGTAGTAGTGTTGGTAAGAGACAGGACCTTATCAAAAGAGGCGAGTCACTGGGAGCATGATCTGGAAGTGTGTACTCACTCCCCAGCTCTTCTCTTCTTTCTCTGCTTCCTGGCCATTCATATGAGCAGCTTTCCTCTCCCTAGGCCCCTTCTCCATTCTCTTTCTTCCTTGGAGCCAACCAACTATGGTATAAATCATCTAAAAATGAATGAGCCAAAATAAACCTCTCCTTTAAGTTGAAAGTGTTGGGTCTTATGTCTCAGTGATGAAGAAAGTGACTAAGACATATCTGTTATTAATACAGTGACTATTATGTTAGATATTCATGTTTTCTTTAATCTTTATCATATAGATATAAAAATAAATGTACTATTTTCATAGCTTTAATATTTTGTTAGAATAGTTTTCATTTTATAATACTAAAACACTTATCAGAAAGTTCAGGTGTGTTAATTTATTAAAGAGTACTTCATCTTATAATAGTGGTCATGGAAAGTTCTGCTTAAAAATAGAAGAAATAGCCTAAGAAGGATAGGTAGAGTTTACATGAATAAAAAAGAAAAAGGAAGCTATTTCTCATTAAAAACAAAATGAAGAAGGCACCAATGAACATAGCATGTTGAGGATGCACTTTGACATTGAAGTCTACTAAAAAGACATTGAAACTTCATGACATTGTTGAATATAAGCCTAGGAGTCTACCAAATAACTAGTATCAAATGAGAATTATGTGAGGTTGATAAGTTTTCAGAGAAATAGAATGAACCTGACTTGATAGAAAGGATAATTTCTTAAATCGGGTATAATTGAATCAAGAATTCTAGGAACAAAGATATTTTAGTGTTTGATCATTGCATTAACTTTGACTTAGTTAAAGAATCCTTAGATCTTAGTGATCAAATACTGGTAAGATGATGATCAAATCAGAGGCAAAGGGATCTGCCTTAGGAAAATAATAAAGGAAGGCCAATTGAAGATCAGTTAATGGGCAGAAGGAACATCAGAATCTTATCATTTCTTGTTGTAATCAAGCCAGCAATCTCAATTGAAGGTACAATGAAAACAATAGTTTAATTTTTTCAATTCTCTCCCTCCCCCTCCCCTCTCCTCCTTCCATCTCTTCTTGTCTCCTCTCCTATTTTCCCTTCTCTAACATTTCCCTCTTACCTATTTATCTATCTACAGTATATTTTTCATCCTTCTGCTTATTCTAACATCTTAATCTTAGTATCTGATGCGTCACAGATCTACTGTCTTCATTCCCGCCTAGAATTTAGAAACTTTTACTTGTTTGCAAAGCACATTATCATTAAGTCTCTTTCATTGACCTAATGTTAGAACTAAAAAGAGGGACATGTGAAACCATAATAACCGTAAAAAACATGCATGCAATATTTTCTTTTAATTTTTTCATCTCTCTCAGTCTCTCTCTGTTTGTCTCTCTTTTTCTGTTCATTTTAAAAAATTAATTTTATTGGTTCATTTTAGGTATACAATATAATGACATTCATCATTGGGGATCATTTTGAGCTATTTGTCTACTTTGGAGTGAGTGAAGGTTTTAACTTCTACTAGAAAGAGATATCCCAGATACCTTCCACTCTTTAACTGACCTCTGCCCAGTAAAATCTGTACTGAGCAAGGTAACCTTTGTTGCTGTAGAGTTTGTCTGATAATTTTTCTAATGGGACCCTTCTTGCTCATATGTATACAAGACATTGGATAACTTTATTTCTTTACCAGAATGGGAAAATTTGCCAAGTATAGACTTTTACATTGTTAAACCAAAACTCTTAAGGGTTGAAGGGTCTCTGAAATAAAAGAGTTCATTGAGCAAGTGTTCAAATTCTGGCCAGAAAAGGACCAGGTTCTTGATAAGTTCCTCGACTACCAGCAGCAGGGGTAGAGACAATGTGTAAATATAAACATTGAACCTCAGAACTGAGCACTCTTTTATAAGGACAATTCAAGGGGAAGCATAAATTACTTATATTGCACTGTGAACTTACACTGGGTATAGAAAGGGAGGAAAGGATAGCATGCCACTAGGAATGTGTGGGGATCAGGGGAACGCCATGAGAAATGTTTATTGCTACTGTGCGGATTGGAGTTAGCAGTGTAGTTTATATGTAAACTGGAGGCCACGTGGTGGGGGAATTTGCTGACCACTGGGAGTAGTAAATCAAGAATATAGAACACATTTAGTAGTGTGGAACAATATTTTCTTAGTTTCAGCCTGTAGCTACTAAGTGATTAACTTCCCTTATCTCCTCCACCCTCCATTCTGTAGCCTTCGTAATTAAATTTAGGATATCTCAGACTTATTCTTCTATTAATATATAGGCCTGGTGGGCTATCAAAACCCCAGTGTTTTCTTTGAAATTTTGTAAGTAATCTTTTATTTGCCTAAAGGGTAGAATCACTATATTTGAAATTGTAAATTATTTGAGCTGAGGAATTGCTCCTTTCCTCCACTTTATTGCTACCTAGGAGGCCAGTATAGTGCCCAAACCTTGATAAATATTTTAGAATGATTCTCAAATAATGTACTTCATCAGTGTAGAGATATTTTCCCTTGTTGGTAGCTGAACTCCTTTTAAATCAGCAGTGAGTTTTTGAAAAATGCAATGTAGGGGAATCTCATGAAAATGTCTGTATGATAAATTACAAGTTGGTACTTTGGGAGAAAGAGAAGAGGATAGAAAAATATCAGAAGCTGGAAAGAATAACAAGGAAACATTTAAAATCACTTTAAATAATCTCATAAATAGACATACTCTACTCATAGGGAAATATGACATATTTATAAGTACTTCATTATTTTCATTATAAAGTAGAATTTATAATGTCAGGGAATAAAAATAGCTGAGTTCTCACCTAAGTGACAGGACAATAATATCCATGCCAATTGTAAAGCATATAATATATTAACATGGTATGATGGTGCAACCTTGTAATCCCAAAACTTTGGGAAACTGAGGCAGGAAGATCACAAGTTTGAGACCAGCCAGGGCAATTTAGTGATTTAGCAAAACCCTGTCTCAAAGTAAAATCTAAATAAAGGAGGGGGTGCTCATGATTAAGTTCAGTTTGAAGGCCCTAGAATAAATACTGAACTTAGTCATCAGTGTGTTTTCTCTTACTTTACAAATATTTCATATCAACCCTTGGCACCTGCTAATGTGTGTGTGCGTGTGAGTGTGTGTGTGTGTGTGTGTGTGTGTATCCACTCTACAAGACAAACAAATAGTTTCCTCTGCTTTGGGAATACTTCCTGTTATTCTGCTTTATAGAAAATGCTTTGATTCAGAAAGCATTTAACAATTGTTTCTTTTAATAAAGTACTGGTTACCCTTTGTGCCAATATGTACTTTAGTTTGCCCTTTGAACACAAATGAGTCACAAACTTAGGAAAGACAAGACTTTTGTTTATTCAGCAAACCTAAAGGTTATCGATACCATTAAGGAAAATATGAGATAAGAACCATTTTGATCTATTACACTCCAGCTCCCAGTACACAGATAGGATTTATCTACATTAAAAGAGGGACTTGGCTATTCTATGAGAACAAGTACTAGGAAGTGAAGGTGACCATTTTCCCTAAAGAATTAATTCTCCTTTACTTTAATAAATAAAATCAATCTCACAACAGTGATAGAAATCATTGTTATGTACTAAAAACAGCAGCTTCAGCCTTCTTATTCCATGAACACAAATGTCCATTACAGTTTTCTTGATTTCTACTATAAAGTTCTCTTCTCTTAAAATTTACAATGAATATGAAAATAAAATTTAAAGAATAAAATCGTATGTGGATAGAGAATATGTAATTCTTATGCTTGTAAAGTATACATTATTAAATGCAATGTATAATTCAAAACTAAGAGAACACATATTTCAAACAGAGATGTTTTATGCCTAAGGATGAACTAATCTCATTTATTTCAACTCAGTGAAGGAAAATTCCAGATTTGTACTTTCTCTGCCCCAAATACTATTCCTTACTCACTAACTCAAATAAAATAAAAAAGCGTTTGGTAGAATTGAATAGATAGAAAGTACATAAAGAGAAAACAGATTTAATTAGAATTAAAATTATCTAGTGTAGAGTCAAAGATAAACTGAAGCCTTTGGAGCTGGGGATTTAGCTCAGTGGCTCCGCTGCCTGCCTGTCAAGTGCAAGGACCTGGTACCAAAAGTTCCAACCCTGGTAGCAAAAACAACCTAAAGCCTTTGGATTGAAAACAAAAGAATGATAGGTATTATTTAGCCTTACTTTTTTCCAATCATATTTAATTCTAGCCTTTCTGGGTTCATATTTAAGCACTAATATTGTTGGAGATAGAATTGACATAAAAGACAATGTTTAAAGAAGAAAGGAGGAACAGGAGGGAGGAAGAGGAAAAAGAGGAGATGTCTTGGATTTGTGCAGGGAATAAAATAGCTTTCCTTCACCTCCCTTCCAAAAAAAAAAAAAAGTCCAGCTAGCTGTTTTCTATTGTGATATAAAATTCTTTTAAAATTGCAAGATGCTAAAAACCTTGACTTGTTTTTAAGGTAATGTTCTATATTGTCTTTCCCACTAATGAAATGTTTACAATAGAGTTGATAGAAATGATGTTGTGGGTGAGAAGGTGGAAATTATATTAAAATGCCTTTGGGAAACAGAGGCACATGAATCATCTCTATATCTATGACACTAATAAGCTGGGCAAAGTTACCTATATTATTTTGATCCTCAGTTTTCCTATCACTAAGATTCAAATATTGGCCAACAAGAAGTAAAACAATATAGTCTTCTCTCTTTGTGGAGTTTCTGTTTCAATAAATGTGGAATGAAGCCTGAAAATTGTCTAACAGTTAAGATTTTAAAATTTTAGTTAACAGAACATATCATATGAGAACAATTACCTTAAAGATGAATATTTACTTTCTGATCTGTTAGGAATCTGGAGGCCTTTGTGGAGGTTAATTTAGGGACATGATGACAATTCATTTGCATGCACATTGAGGCGAAACTCTTAAGTGAAATAATTAGGACACACGTGTAAATACCAAATTATTTCTCTAGTGTGAGAACCTGAAAGTGTAAATAAGGTCTAAAAGGTATAATAGATAATGTGAAATAGGAAGCAAAGGGGCAAAGAGGAGGGGCAAGTGGGAGGGGTAGGGGAGAGGAAAGAAGGGAATGAAATTAATATGAGAAAATGGAAAAGTGGAGACAAAGTCTTTGTAAATAGGGAGGGATAGAAGGGATGAAAGGAGGGCAGAGGAAGGGGGAAAAATAAGAACCAAGAGAGATTATGTAAAGGTGCAAATTTCCAATGATGAATGTCATTGTATTGTATACC